TCCTTTAGTTTTGGGCTTGAGCCATTTTCGGGCGTTATGACTATGAGCATAACCTTAGATAGTAACTAAGGTTGGTATTGATTATGTTCAACATGAGGAATCATTGGGCAACAAACTCGGGTGTGGGATTTGTCATCTTTTGATCAAGGTGAGTTTCCTCCATTGTACTCGTGAGTCGAAGGCACCAATGTCGGCCCACTAGATTATGGTAGTAGGATGATAGTTTTATTCATGACAATTCCATGTTATGTATGTTTGTGTTTGTTATCTTCGTGACTTTCGATGATTTAATTGTACGCTTAGCTGTAAGGGTGAAATAGACACAATACCGGTTGAAAGATACTGAAGGGGGTGAAATAGACCCAGTACAGGTTGAAAAATACCAAAGGGGGGTGAAATAGACCCAATACCGGTTAAAAGATACTAAAGGGGGGTGATATATACCTAGTAGCGGTTGAAAGATACCTAAGGGTGTTAAATAGACCAAGTTATGCTTTTATAGTTATGTATGTTTGGTATGGGTATTTTGGGGGAGCTCACTAATCTTTGTGCTTACATATTTCAATTTATGTTTCAAGTACTTTCAGCTCGAAAAGGAATGACCCAACTTGATTGCATCGCATCCTCCCATGTTTTCTGTATTATGTGATTTTGGGATTTTGTATTCTGATATTATTTCACTATGATATACTTTTGGTTGTTTGACATGATTACTAGATGTTTTGAAATGAATTAAAAATGAAATTTTGTCTGGAATTTTTGGGATGGTACAAAAACCCTCGGTTTCAAAAATAGAATGAGTTATTAGAGTCAGAATTTTGAAAGATCCTGAATCGGACCAAGAAAAATCGTTGTTTGATTCAATTTTGTCGAATTCGATTGGAAGAACAGAATGGGATGTGGAAAAGAAGCTTCGAGAGACTGGTGAATAGATAATCGATAAAACTGAAGTCATGTCTCGCTCTACTGATAAATCAATCATCATTTTATCGGCTATGTATAAACTTTGATGTGGTGAATTTTCCTGATTCAAGTTGTTTTACGCATTTAAGGGGAGAATATTTTGAAGGTGGTGTTCTTAAGGATTCTTCCATTGTGGATCATATCATTTCTTGTGAAGCTGTCAATCATCTCTTTATTTCTTGATGACCTTCTTATGTGAAGTAAAGCTATCTAATTTATCAGGTTTCTTCTTCTTCTAAATCACTTTGATCTTGTTGCATAAACATTTGATCCCTGAACTTATATTTTTGGCTTTATAGGGGCACAATGTGAGTTTTTTTGGTCTAAATGGTCACTATCACATGGTGAACTGGCTATTACAGGTTGAAAGGATCTAAAAAAGCAGGTCGTATCCTAGTTTATTTCATCATAAAGCCCAACAAGAAACTTTAGGGACTGAATCGACCAACCCTAAAAACTTTGCAGGGCATTTGTGTCATTTCCCCTAATTTTTTTCAACACATAATTTTATGTGTGTACTTAATTTTAGATTGTATAAACACCTTATTTGGTCACATGTTGATTGAGTTACTGGTACCGAAACATAGGGTATCAAAGCTGAATTTAGGTTATTTCATCATTGAGTTGCGAAGTTGTCAATCATCTATGCATTTCTTGAGGACTTGCTCATGTGAAGTAAAGCTATCCAATTTATCAAGTTCCTTCTTCTTCTTAATCACTTTGATCTTGTGGCATAAGCATTTGATCCTTGATTTTTTTTGGCTTTATAGGGGCACAATGTAAGTTCTTTTTTTGTCCAAATGGTCACTGTTGCATGGTGAACCGACTATTACAAGTTGAAAGGGACTAAAAGAGCAGGTCGTAACCTAGTTTATACCCCCATAAAGCCTGATAAAAAACTTTAGGGACTGAATCGACCAACCTTAGAAACTTTGTAGGGCATTTGTATCATTTCCCTTAATTTTTTCAACATGTAGTTTTATGTGTGTACTTAATTTTAGACTGTATGAACACCTTATTTGGTCACATGTTGATTGAGTTATGGATATCGAAACATATGGTATCGCAACTTAATTTATGTTATTTCATCATTGAATTTACTATTTGTACTTCATTTTTAACTATATAAGTACCTTATTTCTGTATATATTGGGTTCATTTTTGTTGCTTGATTTGGTATTATTCTAATCATTTGGCCTCAAATCATTAACGAGTTGTACCAACTGCATAAGAACATGTGATGATTCCAATCGAGTATTGAACTAAAACTGGCACTGACACTGAAACCGTCTAGTTATCGGTTCTCATTATTAGTCTAAAATCGGTTCTGATTCCAAACCGGGTTCGATCCACTTCGGACTGTTTGCTCATCCTTGTTCCAACTAAGCACCATTAGCTTAGTTAGCCTTTATTTGACCAACTACCTAATACCATGCAGGCTTATGAAACAACGAGATCGGTCATAAAAATATCAAACCATTTCTCTAGTGATGTGAATAACTATTGTATAAAGGGCTAATGAATTATAAGGGTAACATAGTTTAGGTTTCCTTCACATTTGATCCCTTATGTTTTTTTTCATATATTACCATTGAACTTGTTTGGACTGTTCACATTACATCCTTATGACCAACTTAAGCCTACACTAACCAATCATAAGGATGTAATGTGAGTAGACCAAACAATTTTAATGGTAATATGTGAGCAGATAATAACTTCAAGGACTATACATGTACAAAACCTAAACTATGTTATCCTTCTAAGTCATTATCCTTTTTAAAAAATTACTATCATATACAAAATGGGACATTATTCCTTTTAAAAAATTAGCATCTATCTTTGAATCCTACATATTAGTAGTAGCATCCAGCAACAAAAATGAACTCATCTCAAGATTAAAAAATCTGAACTCACTGTGGAAAAACAAATCATCGTGGCTAAATTCAAGAACAACACATATATACACATACAATCCATATTTTTTTTGTTTGTCTTTCAAAATACACACACACACTTAAGAACACAAATTTTGAATTACATACTTGATTTTATGGGTTTGCTCTTCAACACACACACACACAAAAACACGATTCTTAATCATAAATCAATTACATACAGTCTGATTTTTTTTTTTTGAAAATCACTAGATGGAGGAGACAATTTGTTGGTTTTATTCAAGAACTATCGATTTCTGAAAACACCAGATTGAGGAGACGGACTCGAACATATGTGCTCAATTTTTGAAAATCCACCCATTGATTTTTTTTTCAATTCGACCACACTTGCAAATCAGAAACGAAGGAAAGATCTCTCCCCCCCCCCCCCTCCCTCTCTCTCTCTCTCTCAATCTAAATAGCAAGGCCATCGATCCCTCCACCTCGTCTGTAATAGCCCAAAAAACCAAGATCAATTTTTTCATTTTAAATAAACACAAAAGTTACAATCGTCACATCGTTCAAAAACCATTCAATAATAATAATGTCAAATCACCAGAGTAAAATGTCAAAATGCGGAAAGCTAATGAGGAGTGAATGTTGCGCCATCAAATCAAGCCCTTCCCATTAGTACCAGAAGTACCTGAAACCACGAATATAAACTATAAGAAAAAGCTTAGTGAGTTTCCCAATCATATCACATGCTACTAAAAAAACATGTAAGCGTCATGGGCTACCCCCATGGTCTTGTCACACAATGTCGATGACCAAATCCCGGTCTTACATATGAGTGTCATAGGCTACCCCATTGTCTTTCATTGTGATGCCGAGGGACAAATCCTGGTCTTACATTGAAGTTCAATGGGCTACCCCATGGTCTTCCATACAGTTATCACAAAAGTCAACAATATTCTATGCAATAAGAAATGGGCCGACATTGGTGCCTTCCACCCATGAACATGGTGAGAAGACTCACCTCAACTGCTGAAATCCCAAACAAACACTCAGGTTGCTAGGCTGGATAAATTCTCATGCTAACTAAACAATAAGGTCCCAAAACAATTGGGTCATAATTCGGACTAAGACTTACAACATAAGACTAATGTATAAAGTGAGATGGGCCAAACTAGACCTAAAGCCCAATAAAATCCTAGGCCCCATCCAAGGATCAACTAAGGCCCACAAGGAGTCCAACAGCTGGAGTGTCCCATCGGAAAAACATACAAGGCCCAATCCCAACAAACAAGCCCATCGATTTGGGCCCAAAACAAAATTCCACCTGATATGGGTCGTATGCTCGGCGTACACAATGGTATGCTCAACGTACAAGACTGAAGCGAGAACTCGCTACTAAGGAGGTAGTACGTGCAACGTACAAGAACTATGCACGACGTACGCGACCCCCATGCAAGCCATGAAAGACGTCTTAATCACTTAAGGCCAAGTAACTAAAACTCATATCTGGACCCCTTAAGACCATTAAATCCAAAAAGTTGCAAACTTTATACCTTTAGGTGGACATAAAAAGCATAAACTTTAAAACCTAGCTTATCTCACCCCAACCTACACTCTAACACATGAATGGAGACTCAACAAGGTTCAAGCTTGCACCTTTATGATATAAACGACTAGGAACATCTAAAAATACAAATTGGAGGCTTAAAAGTAGCTCATACTCACCAAGATCTAAACTTTAGGGACAAAAGGAAGAAAATAGCCTCAAAATAGAATTTAACGAAACATAACCCAAGTGTGGAGCTTTATACCTTCTAGTGGTGCAAAATGAAGAGGAGATGCTAGATCGAAAATTTTGACAGCAAATCTTCCTTCTTGAATAATCTTCTTCACAACCAAAAGCACACACTATCACTCAAAAAGCTCCAAAAATATCAAAATGCACTAGGATTTGCTACGAGGGTCGAGAAAGAGAATGGAGGCTGAGGTAAGGGAGGGCCTTGGGCGATAATGAGGTTTAAATAGTGCACAAACGCTAATTCTTAGGGTTTTGGTCTAAGCAACGTACGTCATGCATACTGGAGTACATGTAGCGTACTCTGACAGAGCCCATTATGATAAGCGTACAAGTATGTACGCCCCTCGTACACGATCAAGGCCAAAATTTTAAGATTTTTACTTCAGGTACCTAATGTGCAACAAAACCAAAACTCAAGTGTTCAAAAGTAAACCTGATAAATCTTAGATGTTACATCGTCCACCCAACATGACTTATGACCCAGTCCAGCCAAACCACCACCTCTTCTTGCTTCATGGGGCCTCATCATATTTGGTGGTCTAGTGTGTCTATCTAGTTTGGTAGGATCAGCAGGTGACTAACTCTGCCTTTGAGGCCTTCATGTCTGAACTCTACTAAGATCCAAAAAAATCAAACATTTCTTTGAGTAACCGAGGATCTCTCGAATCTCACCGGAACTCTACATGGACCATCTATGAGGTTTTTTAAACTTAGGGACTATATTCAAAATTTCAGGAAACCACATCTACCATTTATGAGGTTTTGTTCTTATAAAAATAAATATTCTTTTACATGCTTATTTTTATTCAAGTGTAGTGATGTTTCAACAGTCACTTGCCACCCATCTATTTTGTAAAAGGGCAATTTCCACCTCTCAACTTTTAAAAAATACTTTGGAAAATGACATTTTCCACCCTTTTACTTTTTAAAATGTCATTTTTAATCCCTTTCAATTTGAACTTTGTAAAATGTCACTTTCACGCCCTTCAGTTTCTAAACTTTTGTGTTTATCCCCTATAGTATATATAATCTGATTTTCCTTAATAACTTTCGTTTGTTAATATAAAAAAACTATATTTTTACATGTTTATTTTTATGTATGTGTCAATGTTTATAATCTAATTTTCCTACACTTACCATCTTAAACTTTGTGAAATTTTACTTTGACCCCTTCAAATTTGAACTTTCTGTATAACTGTTACATGTTTGCTAAATAGTTTGTATATGTTTACACATGCAACCCATCATTCATCAAATACATTATCGCCGCCGCCGTAACGTGTGGCGGACAAAATACCTCAATTGTATATTTCTCAAAAGAAAGAGCCTAGGAAAACGTATCTTCAACGAATTATCTCCATTCCAAAATCAGTTCAAATGAACAATTACCAACATTTTTTGGAAATTATAAGAAAAATCTCAATATTTTCGGAAAACTTTCAATTTAGTCTCAATTTTTTTTAACATAAAAGGTTTGATCATTTCATTTTGGCTCAAATTAACAAAAAAATCCATTTTTTTCTTTTGACAAGAAATGACATATTATCGTGTAAAATCAAATAATAAGAAATTTTTTGTTCAATTTTTTTTTGTGGAACTAAAATAAAACTTTTCCGAAAATATTGATACTTTTCTGACAATTTCCCAACCATTTTTCTCAAGACTTCATACATAAAAATGTATTTTCCGTGCAATTGATTTATAGAGTCAACTATTTTGGACCAAATCCAGTTCCACCATTATCTTTATCAGCCAACACTATCCTTCGCTGGATCAACGGGATTTGAGACTGACCATCTTTTGCTCCCTATGAGAACATAGATATCATACTCTTCAACCGGGACAAGACTTTACGAGACCCTTTGAAAATAAACATAAAAAATACCTAAACTACCCGACACAATTTTTTAAATAGTCATATGAACTCCATCATAGAGCATTTTAACTTTCCATTTAAAAAGTTTATTCATGAATTTTTCCAACAATCATCTATATATATATATATATATATATATATATATATATATATATATATATATATATATATATATATATATATATATATATATATATATATATATATATATATATATATACCCATTAAAGCATTTGTATGGAATCCTCATAAAAATACAACAATGGATAAATTGCCTTTTGATTCTTATTAGAAAATATTAAAAAATATTTAATTTCTCTTGATTCTTTTGTATGTTTGTAAATAAGGTTTTCATATACCAGATATTTATTTCTAAGATGGAATTGTTTATATGTGATAAGAAAGTTTTTTTTTTTTAATACTTTGATATTTTCACGCTATGTTACATTTAATACAGTGATGGATTCAGAACAAAATGTTAGGATAGCACACTGGATTTTAGGTGTAACACACTGAAAAATTAAAACTCTACAAAAAAAATTCTCAAAAAAATTATACTTTCCTAAAAATCCAGGGGTAACAAAGGCTATCCCGCACATACACTTAGGTCCGCCACCGATATTTAATATATACATTATAAAAAAGACGTATTAAATGGTTCTTCACACTTGAATTCAAATACTTCGAATAAAAATGTTGAATCATGATTTGGATATTTTGGCATGTGAACGTTTTCATCCCACAAGATATTATTAACAGAGAATAAATAAATTAGATTAACATTTTCTTTCACAAAAAATCTTGGAAGCAAATGTTGGGTTGTGTAAAAGCCACATCCCATTGTTTTAAATCACTCCATGAAGAGACAAAAAGGTGGCCACAACTGTCAAAAAATAATTAAAAGCCACGATGGCTGATAGAGATACAGATTTCTCAAAACCCTTGATAACTTCTTCTCTATATGCCCCTTCACATATACAACTTCCCATGTACAAAATACCCAAAATACCCTTCTCATGACCTATAAGATATCCAAGACCAAATTGTTTCCAACACCAAAAGAACAATATATATACCTTAAGACATTGGCCCAATGGACCAAATTGACTTGATCCAATTTGAATATGCACAGAATCAGACATTAGATAAGTCAAAAAATGAGAGGCTGTCACACAAATGTGTTCTTTGGCATAAAGACACATACATCCTCAATGCATCACTTGTTTGTACTGTACAACTCATTTTAACAAAAACTTGCTTCAAGTATGTGCCATTAATTTGGCTTCTATTAACACTTGAATAAATACGTAGAAAAAGTGAGAAACTACAAACAAGAAGTGAAACTACAACTAAATGGCTTTTTGATATGCTTTTTAATACAATAATTAGAAGTTTTTGATTGGGTCATATAGCCTTTAATATGCCTCTTACTAGGTCTGATAAGAAGCTAGGTAGTAGATGACTCAGTAGATTCTGACCGTTTGATACCATAATTAAAAGCATCTAATTTGGTCATATAGCCTCTAATATGCTTCTTACCAGGTCTGATAAAAAAATTTGGATAGTAAAAGGTTCGATCTGACTCAATCAGATTCAGACCGTTTGATATCACAATTAGAAGTCTTTAATTTGATCATATAGTCTCTTACAGGGTAGTAAGAGGTTGGATGCAGGAATCTAACTCAATCAGATTTATTCAGACCGTTTGATACTACAATTAAAAACCTCTGATTTAGTCATATAGTCCTCAAATATGCCTCTTGATAAAAAGTTGGACTCAATCAACAATTATCAAACAACTCCCGACCCTTTCATTTTTCATCATTTGTAAATTTAAAGCCAAAAATAAATGATAAATCTCAATAATTATGATACAAGATTCACAAAAAGATATGCTTTCATTACCAATTTCCCGTTAGCTTGATACTCTAAAAATTCAAAACATGTTGCATAAAAGCAACCCAACCATCTTCATAAACTAACAAAAATCAAATGAAAATACAATATTCTATGAAAGAGTTCCAACTTGTAAAATAAACTAGTGAGGTGCATGTTACAATAACTTCATTAGAGTTTATTATGTGACAAACAAAATCAAAACTAAAATTCAAGCAACTCATCATCACTCATCTCAAAACTCACAAAACCGAAGCTTGTTTCTTCACTTTCTTCCCTTTCTCCTTCCCCATAATCATCCTTGACAAAACATCCGCTTGTTGTGTGTTCCCTTGTTCTTTCAAAACCCTAATCAACTCCTCACCACTACTTTTATCAGTCACTCCCCCTTTCTCTTTAATCTTACACAAAATCGAATAAGCATTAAGTGTCTTTCCAGCTTTCAAAAGAGCATCCAAAACCTTATCATAACTCGAAAACTCAACCCCATAATCTCTCTCCAAAACAAAATCCAACAATTTCACAGCAGCAATCGTCTTTCCTTTCTCACAAACAACCGAAATCAACCCATCAAAATCAGGCCCAAATCCAACATTCATCAACAACTCAATCCTCCCCAAAGCTTCTTCCACATGACCCCTTAACAAAAGTGCTTCCAAGATTCTTGAAACCAAATCTTTATGATCTTTCACACCCTTTTCAATCATCATTTTCATTACCCTACTTGCGGTTTGTACTCTTCCATCTTCAAACAAACTTTCCATTACTGATTTGAAGATCAATGAATCCGGGTCATGCCCGTTTTCAATCATGGATTCAAGAACCGTTTTCGCATCGGAAGGTTCTTGTTTCTTCAAGTAGCTTTCAATCAACATCTTGTAAGAAGTTTTATCAGATGAAATGTTTCTTCTCATCATGATCTTTAAAAGTTCAAAAGCTGAATCGGGTGTTCCTTCTTTTGAATGACCTTGTATTAAACTGTTGAAAGAAACCGAATCTAAAACACCCATTTTCATTAATTGGCGAAATAAAGTTTCGGCTTTTGATGTCATGTTGTTGTTGCAAAGATAGTCAATCATTGGGTTGAATAAGTTTGACTCGAGTTCTAAAGTACCCTTTGTGTTCAACACGATTTCTTGTTCTATAAGTTGATCTAACAACTTCACAGCTTCATCATACACCCCGGAGTTTAAAAGATTTACAATTAGAACCCCGTAATGTTGAGCTTCAGGGGTGATGTTTAAACGAATCATGGATTTAAGAACATCTGTAGCTAAATCAAGATTACCTGATTTGCATTGACCTGAGATTAATTGTAGAAAAATGGAGTTATCATGTGGGAGAAGATGTCGATGTGTCATTTCTTTCATGATTGTATGTGCTTCTGACATTTTTTCTGCTTCACAAAGACCAGGTAATAGAGTGGAATATGTGAAAGAATTCGGTTTAATTCCAAAAGATTTCATTTCTTCATATAACTTCAATGCATCATCTACTCTGTTAACTGTAACATACCCTTTGATCATGGTGGTGTAGCTGATTACAGTTGGTTCGATGTTTCTTGCTTTCATTTCCATGAAGAATTTTTCGGATTCTTCGATCTTTTTGACACGATTAAACCCGTTGATCATTGTGTTGTAAGTGACAACATCTGGGGAAATTTCACGGGTTTTCATGTCTTCAAAGAATCTGTTTGCAGTTTCTACTCTTGAAGAAAGGAAAAACCCCCAAATCATGAGATTATAAGTGTGTCTTGAAGGGATTATGCTTTCTGCTAACATTTTATTGAAGTACCTTTTCGCCATCATATATCTTCCTCTTCTCATTATCACCTTGAATAAAGTGTCGTATGATTTTATAGTTCTTGGAACACCTAATTCCTCCATGCTCCTGAAAATCTTCACGCTTTCTTGAACAATTCCGGCTTTTCCATAGCTATCGATCAAAACAATGAACAAATCTTCATCCCATTTGAGACCCTTTTTGGGCATATCGAGCAAAATTAACCTCGCATGATTAAGCTTTGAAGCTTTACCCAAAATTTCTATGATCTTGTAATGTGTTTCTCTGTCATTTTTGAACAAACCCGAGCGCTCAACCCACCGGAAAAACTGTAAAGCATGGTCGGGATTTCGAGCACTATGCAATACATTGTAAACGAGATTGTGATCAAACACAGGGACTAATGTTCGAATCGAGTTCTGTAAACGAGTCGTCCATGCCCTATTTGCCATCATTCTGCAAATTATATCTTCAATTTTTTCTGGGTTTCGATGCTTACCTCGTGGGATTCCGGGTTCGCGATTCTGGATCGTCCCTGGTTGTGCTTCTTCACGGGTCGAGACCGGTTTCTCAGGATGTGATTCGGCGGACAAATCTGGAGTTTCCGTTTTTGGGGTTTCTTCATTTGTGAGTGTGTCTGGTGAAGACGATGAACAGAAAAAGCAGAGACCCGGATGCTGTGAATTGGAGATTCTTGCAAGATTGGAGAAGAAGCTGTGTTTCAATACATGGGGTTTTGATGCAGCGATTAAAGAGATCATTTTGATGTTTTGGAAGATCAGAACGCGAGAGTGACAATGTTACAGTGTAGGAGAAGAGAGACGTGCGTGGTTGCTGAGGGCTAGGGTTTAGAACTGGGTTCAGGGGTCGACCAATTTTTTTTCTTTTTTCTTTTTTTTTTTAATAATAATAATAATAATAATAATAATAATAATAATAATAATAATAATAATAATAATAATATTCTCTATTAGTTGTTGCAATATAAAGAGAAAATTAAGGACACTAAATGTTTTTATATCACGATCGTTGAAAACATAATACATGTCTTTTTTTTTTTTTTTTTTTTTTTTTTTTAAATATGCTTATTTAAAAAAAAAATAGTAAAACTAATATGTACAATTTGAACGTCCTATCTCGGATCTTTTTCAACATCATCGGGTTGGGATAAATCGCAAAATGGATAACAATCAAGATTTGAATACAATATATCTTCTGTAAAAATCTATACCTCAACCATTGCACTCTCATTTTTTGGAGCATGTTTATAACATATGATCTTGAGCAAAATGGTTTTTACAACTCCGATAATCTTATCATCAACATATTGGTATAAATTTGAATAATTTTTTGTTGCTAAGCAAAAAAATACATCTTTCAGCACATCACTATGCACTTACAACTTCAAAAAAAGGGTTTTGATGTGAAAATCCAAAAAGATTTATAACCAACTTTTTCGACCTTGGCAAAAAGTATTTCTAATGAAACATGATAAAGAAGTCATTGAATGTTTGGTACCTTGTAAATTACAACTTAAAACAATGTTCTTTACAACATGATTCTCTATTCTACAACCTTTCGTAAATAGATAAATCTTTCAAGAATTAAACAATCTTTGTAAAGCTAACTACAACTATACCATTATGTCGCATTCCATTGTATATCGACATGTATCTCTCCATTTCGTGAGTTAATGAGATGATACCTCTCATTGATACGATTGTTATAAACTACATCCACAAGATTGATATCCACGTGCCCCAATGTTTCCTGCATACATATATTAAGCCATGTTACTTGAAAGGTGATATATTGACTTGAACCTAAACTCTTTTATACATTTTCACATCCTTACTACACCACTTATCTACAAGAGATACTAAGTAATAGATATACCTATATGGAAGTAGGCTGCATGGACCCCACTTAGAGGTTGGACCCATCTTATATTTTAGGTAAAGAATTATTTTTGAAAGTTGTATAATTGGTCTCACTTAATTATTTTTTATATGATTTTTACTAAAAGGTTCAAAAAACTTCATAAATTTAGATTTTTATAATTCTTTTTCATTATATTTTTGTATATAAGATATATCCATGTTAGTTTTGGTTTTGGATCTTCCACTCACTGCATCTTAATTTGGAAAAAATAAGTACACACCACCCTAGGCATGTTCTACAAACAAGTCTCACAGCCAACATGAAAAAGATAAATCAAAATATCGATAAATCAAGAAAGAAAGTGATGTGAAAAAGATAAATCAAAATGTTGACAAATCAAGAAAGAAGGTGACGCTAAGACTTGAACAATATAACCTTTCTTATTGATTGCATCTAGTGTTTATAAGATGGTTTACCTTTGATGAAACAAACCTAAAGGCTCTATTCTTGCGTCTGCTTATTACTTCAATATGGATAGCCTCCTCTAATGGAGCTTCATCTAACATAAATTGGAAATCCTCATTCCAATTTGGATTCCGAGTTTTCTTCAATACCTATCATCAAAATACCGAATCAAGAATCCCAACAAACAATCTCAAGAAAATCAAGATATCTACAACTCCTAACTCACCTTCGTTTTACGCTTTTCTCCTTTAAAAATGACTAAAGCAAAAGGATTATTATGACGCTTTCCATCAAGATCTTTTGCCCCGATCACTGTCACCACAAGCAACCCCGCTCGATTCACATATGAACTCTCAAGTGTTTTAGGAATTGTTTCTTTTTTCATAAACAAGTCAATAGGTCCATTGAACCCCATAGTGTCTTCAACAAAAGGAACAAAGTTTAATTCCACCGTGATGCTTCCACGTGGCTTCTTATTGCGCGGATCATTTGGATTCATGTTTTTCACCAACTCCATTGTAAACTCCTTCTTTTCATGTGGTGTCAAAAGATTCAATGGGATAACTTGCATTCCTAACTTGTCATGCACCCCAACCTACACAACCAAAACCATAACATTTTATGTCAAATTAAGCAAAACCCACATGGATCTTGATCTTGAAAAGTAGTAAACTTTTATTTTTTTGATAAAAATCACACCTTTTCCCAATCGTATACGCGTAGTTGAAGGACTTGACACTCGGGATCTTTTACAGTAAGTTTAAAGTCTTCATTCCACTCGGGGTTTAAATTTTTGAGCTTTACACTAGTTTTCTTGTAAGAAATCCTCTCTCCACTTAAACTTAAACGAACATATGGATCAGAAGTTCCAATTATATCCATCTTTTTGAGTTTGCGGGCTCGTATAACTTTCACATGTAGGATACCCATAGGTTTCTTGGCTGCACCACTATCAAAAATCATCACTACCAAATGTCAATCTTGATTTTCTTGAGAAAAACCAAGATTCAAAGAGTGCTATTATTGCAAACATGTAAAGATCTTACATGGAAGCATCAAGAATTGGGATCTCCAAAGTTTGAGGCCATAGATAAACACTAGATACTTGTTCATCGATTAGTCTCTATCATTTGTCCACATTCACAATGATTTAGCCAAACAACTTTATGATTTAACGAAGCATAAAAGTGATAAAGAAAAAGGTGAAAAAAATGGAGAGAAAGAAAACCTGAACATAATTATGGAGTCCAGGGATTGCCATTAGATCACCTCCCATTACTTTCAACCCAAAATCTACTTCAGGCTAAAAATACAAAACATAACCTTCATTATTGTTCCACAATTAAAAAATATAAAAATAAAAACTAAGTATATAATGTGTACAAAGTACAAACCTTCTCCATTAGAGAAACTTGTGCATTTGAAAAGCAAGGGAAAGTGGGCACAAATGGTTTCAAAGTCACCCGAATTGCTGCAGTTATTTGTGTATCTATCAACTGACAAAAAAACAAGGTCATCACATAAATCATATGCTCAATCTTGGAACTAAATTTATGTATATTATGACATAAAAACCAAACTTTTTTAACCTGAACTTTGATTGGAAAATATAATAACTTGAGAACCAAAGTTATATTGGGATTTCCTGCCCATTTAGCCATTAGATCAAAGACAAGATGGTTTTCATTCATTTCGTGTACTTTTATACCTGCAGAGTTTTTTTTAACAAAACAAAAAAAAGGATTTGATCGATTTTAAAGAAGTAAAACATTTTCTTTAAGTCTTGTAGTGAGAAACATACCTTGAACTACAGGAGGAAGAGTTCCAAGGGTAAGAGTTTCAAAATCTATGGATTTTAAATGAAACATGCCAATGTATTCAGAAAATATAGGTTCTGATAAACTTTTAATCATGCCACATATTGCCTATATACAAGAATGAAATCAATGTGAGATAGGTTTATTATAATTTTTATACATAAAAAAACCAACAAAAGATTCTTTAAAGTGTTCACCTTATCGATATAAGGCCACATATCACGAACTACATCATTAAACCAATCAATCTGTAGAATCATAAAGAAACCATGTTGCAGTGTTTTTTTTTAAAACATAAAGATGACGACAAGTAAGAATGTTTGAAATGTAATACTCACTCGTTCATAGTCTGGGTGCTTTACCCATAATGGAATTTCGGGTAGAATATCAACCAATGAGCTTCTATCAAGCTCCTGAAGAGGCCTAATGAATGGAATCTGCAAACGTAAGTTGAGAAAGCTCTAACTGAATTATTCAACGCGAAAAAGGTATTCAAATGCTGATAATTTTGTGAATTCAAACGAGGAAAAGCAATCGTTTGTTTGCATAGCAATTATAGTGATCATTCTATCAAACACTTACATTTCGTTTTTAGAAAACTGTATAGAAACGAAATAAAACGATAACTCAGCTTAAGAATTAACATTCATCGATCAAATCAAATCAGTCACCTTCACATCTGTAGATTCTGTGCTAATAAAGATGAGAAACCCCAGAAAAAGACCGACGGGAATTCCAAATACAAACCCGATAGTTCCCAATAAACTACCGATAAAGTTCATCTTCACACTATTTCATTTGGGTTATTGACAAGAACTCGATCTTGGTTTCTGGATCATATAAACATAATGTTTCAATGATTGAATCATTGGTGTCAAAGGGAGATAAACAAAATGGAATTACGAAATCTAGAAAGCGATGATTAGATTGTATATGGCTTGCAAGATTGAATTTGATAGCGTTAACGTAATGCAGGAGTGTATGACGAAAAACACACGATTAAACAAAACAAAAATAGGCTTTTTGAAGCAATAGAAAACAAGGGGGGAATAATAAGAAGTTACATTTGCCTCCCTCAATGTTTAACGTAATTTCACTTTTTGAACATTAAACAAAAAGAATAATAATCTATACATCTATTGATTTGTTTGATGTTAAGGGAAAACATCCACGGGAAAAGCAACATTATGTAAAAGAGCGTCTAGAAAATCACTTGCTCACATTTCAAGTTATTAAAAGATGATATTGAGAAATAGGGGAGGTAAATGACGTAATATATAGTAAAATAGAGGGATGGTTTGTATAAATATTTTTGTAGATATGTTGTGCGAAATGAAATATGCAAACTTATGACAGAATATGCCCAAGACTTCTTCGTATTGACTTTTCAACACCCATTATGTTTCCATTAGAAGTCTACCCTAAAATTATCAACTATTTCCTACAATTGAATTTATAAATTTTCTTCAAAATGATTTAACTTTAAATACACATATTTTAGTGAAATGGAGTAATCTAACCCTTATGAAGAAATATTTTAATAATAATAATAATAATCGGTTTAAATTTATTTTTGTAAAATGACTCTTTTCTCTAGA